GAAAAATACCGGAAGAGCGACATTTCAGATACAGCTGACCGGGACAAGCGCCCCAACGAATCGAGCAATCGCCGCGGCGACAAACCTCCACTCTCGCTCTTCGCCCCTACGACCACCGACAACCCTCTCGCCTCACTAATGGCCATGACGACCCCCGCACTGCTTGCATCGTTGCAGCAGCCCGCTACCATAGCAGCCACACAGGACGATCGTGACGATGAGGACGGAAGGGACGAAGATGAGCAGGAAGAGGAGGAAGGGGACGACGAGACGGAGGGGTTGAGCACGAGCATGCCATCGGTGGGCAGCACCCCAGTCGACCAGCTCACAGCTGCACAGGCAGTGGCTGCCCTCCAGCCGAATGCCCTCAGCAACCCCATGCTCGCCCTCGCCAACGCTCTGGCCGCCCTTGCCAATCCACTCGCTGCTCCACTCGCTGCTCCACGACACATGCAGCTCCGCTCTCGCAAGGGACGCCGACCCACCTGAACTCACCATACGGCCATTTGTCATCAGCCATTGAGCCATCTGTGGGAGTGGGTGTCATGTGGGTACCGTGATGTGTTGTGTCTGGCTGTTGGTGACGACCCGTTCGATCTCTGTCGCGCTCAATCTCCGTCGTCCCCGATCTCCTTCGTCCTCGATGTGCCAGTTCGATGCATATGGGATGCAGGGTGGACACATCGACATGTTTGGATGTTCGCTTCCTTGGATGTATCCATCTGATACTCACCGCTCTGATGTCTGGACGCGTATCTCTTCGTTCTCGATGGCCACCAGCACTCCTCGCGACGCCTGGAGGGCACAGACCACATCTCGTTTTAAGAGCCATCACATGGGTGTGCGCCTTCCCTCTCGGCGCGTGCTCGTGGCCCACCTCTGCAGTTTTGACTTCCCCTCGTCTTCTTGGTCCACCTGATGCCCTATCTGGAGCTGTTCTTCCTCGCTCGGGCGCCCAGCTGACCAGTGCTGAACCGGTCTGGTGTGCCGTCACACGCCCCGCTGGCTGCCCTTATGCTGTCACTTGCCTACCTTGCCCTTGTCGGCCGACTGGAGGCCATTGCTGTCGTCCTCGATGTCCCCTGCCGTCTGGAGCCGTCACCATAATGCAGCTGGATATCATCTGAAGAGAATGCCAGTCAAGGACCGTGCTGCCAGTCAAGGACCGTGCTCAAGTCGGTGCAGAGGCTTTCCTTCCTCCTTCCTCGCTGTGCGTACCTCTGATCCTGATGGTGAAGCCCCCTGTCCGTGCTGAGCGGCGCACTCTCCACTCACCAGTGCCATGGGTCAACTGAAGGCTCATGGACGTGTCGAACTTTCGCCTCTTCCCGGAAGGACCGCTCTACCTCCCCATCCCTGGTGTCCGCTGACTGACCAACGACACACAGCACACCAACCAGCTGCAGACGACTCGGAAGCCTATCCTGATCTTGCTGCCTTGTCTGTCATGGCCCACCTGCCTTGTTGATATTGGTTTTAATGAGGTCCTTCCCCCTCACCTCTCTGCGTCGGTGCCGAGCTCTTCTCCCCTGGCCTGACGATTGGAAGTCCCGAGGGACCTGCTGCTTCACTACCTGGTGCTGTTGTCGATAACGCCTTGCTACTGGCGTCGATTTTGCCTTCCTTCCCTCGAGCTCTCACTTCGCTGCCTGTCTGCGAGCTTTTGTGGGCCTCCTTTCCCTGTTTCGCGCTCGAATCCATTGTCGAAGCCGTGTGCCTCGCGCTTGACCGGCGGGGTTGTGTTGCGAAGTGCTCACGATGCCCTTCGCCCCTGTCTGTGGCCCTGATGAAGGCGCTCGGCTCAGATGACTGGAAGTGTGGACGTAGGTGTCTGGACGTGATGGACGGATGGATTGGATGCCGTGGACCGTGTGCCGATGGAGAGGATGCAGCCCTGGATGAATGAATGGATGGATGGAGCTGATGCTGATGCTGATGGATGACAGGCTGAAGGATGGTAGCCGTGTGTAGGCAGGCAGGACGACAAGCCGTAGATGGGCACAGGGGAGGCAGCCAGGGAAGATAGAGGGCTGCTGATGAATAAGAGCGCTAGATAAGCCTGCAGTGCATGCATGCGTGGGCCTGGGGGCGTAAGACGGGAGATAGAGAAGCTGGCCAAGCGAGTTAGTGCCGGTTGTGTTTCATGATTCATTATCGTTCGCTTCCGATATGACTTGAGTCATTCTCTTGAGATCTGTTGCTTCGGCACGATCTTTGGTCCTTCCGACCATTCCCTTCGGCAGGGCGTCTTCCCAAGCCGCCCTTGGAGCCGCAGAGTGATGGTGGAGTGCTCATGTGAGTGATGGTGGAGTGCGCAAGTGAGTGATGGTGGATATCGAGTACGTCGCCCAGCTGGTCACCCTCCCGGTGAGTCCGCAGCGAGGCGGCACGAGTACTCGTACAACAGCCAGCTGCCCTTCTTGCATCATCTTCCCTCAGCCAGATCTTGCTCTCTCTCTGAGTCCATGTGCCTCCTCGTCCTTCCAGGACTCGCCCCTGTGCTGACCTACTCCCCTCCTCTCCTCCCGACTGGCCGAATGCATGTCTGGGGATGCTTTTGAGGGTCATGTCTCACCGGGATTACATGCACGCATATCTGCCTGAGATCTGCCTGTCTGTCCGTCTGTGTTATCTCTCTAGCCTCCCAGTGTGTGCCTACGTATCCGCCACAAGGTCCGTCCCCTCGCCGACCACTCACTGAGGCAGACAACACATGCATTTGACCCGCACATCAGTCAGGGGAACACGGTACTCTCACTCAGAGCGGACGGCACGAAAGCATGTGTGTGGCTGGCTCTTTCTCTCTCTCTCTCTCGGTTGGCTGAGATCAGTTAGTTGTCTGGTGTGTTTGCCTGCGCGTATGGATGGCTGGTATGCTTCGCGTGTGGGTTTGACCGTTGCCAGAGAGAGGACATCCGCACCATGACACTTTCGTAACAACACACACCACACACACACACACACACCACACACACACACACCCACACCCACACACCACACACCCACACATACACACACACGAGCACAACCAGCCAGCCGTCGCCCGACGGGATATCAAACAGGGGCAGGGCGCTTTTCCCCCGCGCTTCTAAAATACGGGGCATGTGAAACCCAGGGGTAGCGAAGGGAAACCTTGGTGAGCCGGACTCGCCGCCCTGGTCATTACAGGGTGTCCTGCAGTGCTGCTCGATTCGTCCGAATGAATGCCTTTGTGTGTTCATGAGGACGCTCGAATGAATGAATGACATAGAGGCGCGTAAATGTAAATAGAGGCGTGTCTACATAGACGGCGCAATGCAGGCGCGCCCATATGGGCGCGCTTGGCGCCGATTTGGACTTGGTTTGATAGACTCAATCGAAATTATAAGTCGAGAGACAACTAAGTACGAGGGATTCGACTCAGAGGTGTGTCAGCACTTCTTTCGGTGGCTCAAAGGCTTTCGGCACATTTTTCGGCATACAACGATCGAGATGCTGTGCTTCATGCTGTATCAGCACCTGTCGCTGCACAACACGCTGCGAAGGGGTGGGTGGAAGTGAGTGTGTCGATTGGACGCTGCCCTTTGGCAGCACGCGGGAGGGAGAGGTGACGGGGAGGGGCTTTGGAAGGGGTTCTTGGTTGCATGCACCTGCCGCGTCGGGTTTAGGGTTTCAGCGAGATTCAGTGGGATTAGTGTTTAGGGCTTAGGAATCGTTTACACGGAAGCATGGGCGACCAGCACGTCTGATCTAGAGTCGGTATGGATTTGCACACGCAAAGACACAAGCGATCACAGAAACACATGCGCACCATACGGCATGGATGATAGCAGCACTCTGGTATAAACCGAACAGCCCATCAAACGCAATCACACAAGCGACTATCACATGCCCTACCAAACCACCATGCAACCCAAGCCCGACCCATAACAATACGTCCCCAAATCAATCCCTCACGGCCGGTCCTGGCAGGCAAACGTGCGGGTTTGTGCCCTGTAGGGCCCTGGAGAGATGAGGTCCTCAGGAAACAGACCCGCCCGCTGCTGTGTCCGAGCATCGGCCGCATGATGAGCGCGGCAGGACACTTGAAAAGCATTCCAGCGCATCAGCGCGACCGACAAACACTGCCCCCAATGGTTCATGACACCCTCATGAAAAAATGCACGGTCTTCTGCAGAGCTGGCGGGTGGGGGGACGCGCCGCTGCGCCAGACGGCGAAGCAGAGTAAGGGTCTCGCCACCCCAACGGCCGAACGTCTCCGCTGCTAGGGGCACGAAGGTGTAGCCTTTCTGTCGACAGTTGGCACCGTACTTGCGATCTTTGTCGCGCTCCGCCCCTGCAGCTGCAAAACCGCCCGGCCGACATGCGTTGCTGCGGTTGACCTGGGTGTGGTGGGCGGTCGAGTTCTCGGGCCGACACGGATGGACCACCGTGATGTCGCACAGGACACCTTCGCCGTTGATGGAGAAGAAGAGGTCCATGCGCTGACTGTTGGGCTGGGCGTTTG